CCCCAAAAAAAAAAAAAAAAAAAAGGTACAGATGAACCAGTTTGCAGGGCAGGAATAGAGACACAGATGTAGAGAACAAACATATAGACACCAAGGGGGGAAAGCAGCTGGGGGGGGGTGGTAAAAAAAAAAAAAAAGAATTCTTTTTTACACTTCAAAAAGTTAAACATCGTCCTGAATAGGAAAATCTACCCAGACAGAGAGTAAATTAGTGGTTGGCAAACGCTAGGGGAAGGCGAGAATGGGGAATGACTGCTAGTGGGTACAGGGTTTCTTTTTGTCACGATGAAAATGTTCTGGCATTAGACAGTGGTACTGATTCCACAACTTTGTGAATGTACTATAAACCACTAAATTGTACACTTTAAACGTGAATTATATCTCAATAAACCCATTATTTTAGGGGGGGAAAAAAAACCAACGTTCATAGCAGCATTATTTACAATAGCCAAGATATGGAATCAACCTAAGAGTCTATCAACAGATGACTGGATAAAGAAGATGTGAGAATATATATATATATATTCTCTCTCTCTATATATATACACATATGTGCATGTATATATATACACACACACAGATATATATATATATATATATATATATATATATAGAGAGAGAGAGAGAGAGAGAGAGAGAGAGAGAGAATATTATTCAGCCATAAAAAGGAATGAAATCTTGCCATTTGCAACAACATGGATGGACCTGAAAGGTATTGTACTTAGTGAAATAAGTCAGACAAAGAAAGACAAATATTATATGTTAACACTTATATGTGGAATCTAAAGAATAAAACAAAGCAATGAAAATAACAAAACAGAGACAGACCCACAGAAATAGAGAATAAACTACTGGTTATCAGTGGGGGGAAGGAAGGTGGGAGGGGCAAAACAGGGGTAGGGGATTAAGAGGTACAAACTACTATGTATAAAATAAATAAGCTACAAGGACTGATTGTTCAGTACAGGGAATATAGCCAATATTTTATAATAACTTTAAATGGAATATGATCTATAAAGTATTGAGACACTCTGTTGTACACCTGAAACTAATGTAATACTGTAAATCATCTATACTTCAATAAAGAGAGAACATAGGCTTTCTACATTGGCAGCAAATGACCATGCATAAAATAATTATAATAAAGTTTTATACTGTCACAGAATGAGCCTTGGCTTCACAATTTTAGGTTTCTGTATTATATTATAGGTGTGTAGATAGAAGTCACCTGGATTTGAATGAGGGACCAAACTTAGGGAGGCTTAAAAACTTGTCCAAAGTTATAGCATTAGTAAATGACAGAGCTAAGTCCTCTCAAAATCCAGCAAAATTTAGCTTGACAACTGGCATTAAAAAATTAGAAAACAAAAATCAAAAAATGAAATCTCATACCTGTAGTCTTCCCTTTTCATAGGCCAGTTTATTTTTACTCTCAGTAATTTTTCCCAAGACATTTTCCACCTGCTGTTGGGCAAGCTGATAAAGCAAACACAGGTATCAGTACCTCTAGGCATAGAATGAATAATCATTTTCTTTCTTAAACAAGTATTTATACCCTTACTATTTCTAAAGTAATGAATCCAGGATTCATATTTATTCGCTCTTGCTACCTCTTAGTCTGTCTTTAGACAGCTGATCATAGTGTAATATGAAACATGTAGAGAGACTGCTAATGAAAATATGAGTGCCTTAGGACTCACAGTTGTTCTTTGTTTCCTAATTCTCTTTTTGCTATGTCAAGTATTCCCTTGTAGTTGCAACCTAACCCAGATGTGGGGTGGTTTTATCAGTGGTTGCAGATATGCAATTTGTGGATTATATGCGGTCGGCCCTCTGTATCCACAGGTTCCACATCCACTGGTTAAACCAACTGTGGATCAAAAATATTCAGGAAAAATAAATTTCCAGTAAGTTCCAAAAAGCAAAACTTGAATTTGCCACACATGGGCAACTGACAACTATTTAAATAGCATTACATTGTGTTAGGTATTATAAGTAATCTAGAGATGATTTAAAGTGTATGGAAGGATGTGCATAGATTATATGCAAATATCACACCATTTTATATAAGGGACTTGAGCATCCACAGATTTTGGTATCTGGAGGGTCCTGGAACCAATCCCCCATAGTTACTGAAGGATGATTGTACTTATTTAAGACAATGGGAGCTACAAATGATCACAACCATTTGGTCAATAGCAGACACCTCAGTTACCATAGTAAAAGGCAGTAAAAAAAGAAAAAAACAAAAGAAATGTTTGTCGGAAACTCCAACATTGTTTGATCAAGTACTCAACACAATGTTATCTAGGACAAACATTACTGAAGTCTCTATATTTCATGAAATTACGTATTTAATCATTCAAACAGCCTTTAATAATGAGTTATTTTTTTCCCTCAGACTTTGTCAGAGGAAGTAACTATAAAATAGTTTTCTCTTGATTAAATTTTGAACCTTACTGGTACTTCAGGAACACTATTAGTGACTGAATATAGAAGTTTTCACTTTCCATAATCAATTTCAGTGTTACATCTTAATAACAGGAAATACTGATATTTGCCATATGTCAAAATCATCTTCATAAGTCCATTGTAGGAATAATACACACACAAGCAGATGTGACTAAGAACACGAATTCTTAATCACATAGGCCAACCAGCTGCACTACGGGTCATTTCCAGTAAATTTTAAGTTCAAAGTCTTAATAATGTTGGTAAATATCCTAAGTTGACATAATCACTATTTCTGCTTTACATTTGCTTAATTTGTGAATAACAGAACAAAAGGGCCTTTTCAGCATTTAAAGCCAAAGAATTTAGATTTTTGTTTTATATTCAACTTTGGGCTAGTCTGTAAAGATGAAACCATGTATATTGGGATATTAATTTACACAAGAGACACTCCTCACTATCTCCAACATTGTTACAGCTATTCTTTACTCATCTCTTTGTAGTGCACTTTACTTCATTTTAAATATTGTGAATATTTTCCAAATAAAAGTAAAAACACATTCCAAACTAGATTACTGTATAACATGTAACTCATTTCTTCCTGTTCAAAATATTTTCATGATAGCATATATTCTGTTAAGAGGTCACATTAATCTGGAGCATTGTTTTCTCCTTGGTAGTTGTCTTGGCTAGAAGAATTAAGCCATTTTAGACATTCTAGACTTGATAAAAACCTATGGAAAAATTATAAGTAGTGATTAGTCCCACTGTAAAATTATGCACATTCATTTTAAAATTTATACCCAATATTAGATCAGTGGGTAATTAACTATTATGGCTATCTAGGCATTTGTCCTATCAGATCAATATTTATTTCATACCTACTTATACATATTCATACTTCCGGTTTTTTAAAGTTTCACTTTTTCAAAAAAAGTTTTTTAAATAGATCTTTATTGGAGTATAATTGCTTCACAATACTGTGTTAGTTTCTGTGTTAGTACAACAAACTGAATCAGCCATATGCATACATATGTCCCCATATCCCCTCTCTCTTGAGCCTCCCTCCCACCCTCCCTATTCCACCCCTCTAGGTCATCGCAAACCACCGAGCTGATCTCCCTGTGCTATGCTGCCGTTTTCCCACTAGCTATTTTGGTAGTGTATATATGTCGATGCTACTCTCACTTTGCCCCAGCTTCCCCCTCCCACCCTGTGTCCTCAAGTCCATTCTCTATGTCTGCATTTTTCTTTAAAGGAACTAATTTATTTATTTTGGCTGTGTTGGCTCTTCACTGCTGCGCGTGGGCTTTCTCTAGTTGCGCTGAGTGGGGGCCACTCTTCCTTGCGCTGCGCGGGCCTCTCATTGTGGTGGCCTCTCCCGTTGCAGAGCACAGGCTCCAGGCACGCAGGCCTCAGCAGCTGTGGCACACGGCCTCAGTAGTTGTGGCTTGCAGGCTCCAGAACAGGGCCCAGATGCTCCGCGGCATGTGGGACCTTCCCAGACCAGAGCTCGAACCTGTGTCCCCCGCATTGGCAGGCAGATTCTCAACCACTGAGCCACCAGGGAAGTCCCTCTATGTCTACATCTTTATTCCTGTCTTGCAACTAGGTTCCTCAGTACCATTTTTTTTTTTTTGATTCCATATATATGTGTTAACATATGGTATTTGTCTTTCTCTTCCTGACTTACTTCACTCTGTATGACAGACGCTAGGTCCATTCACTTTTAATCGTTGTGTGTTGCTCCCACTAAAGCAAAGGAAAATATTTTTTTAAAGCATTCAGACCAATAAAGTATTGGTTTCAAAATAACCTAAGGAAAATGTAGACTGCTATCAATAAATAGGAGGCTAGTAATAATATATTATCATAACATTAGTCATCAATTAATTTTCTGTCTGTGGAAGACATACAGTCCTCCTTTACCACAATATTTTTCATTTTGGAAACTATGATGTAAAATCATCCCATGAATGCAACATTTGGGATTATGTTTTGATCAAGCCTTCAGCGGAAAATATATCACAAGGATGGCCAATAATGCTACAAAAACAAAGCTACACCATAACCATAAAAGCTGAATTATTTAAAACTTAAAATTCAGTTCCAAGTCCTATAAATCAAAGTGCCCAATGTGTTGCAAAATGTAGGTATAGCTTACAAAAAGTCAAGAGCCAGATTTAACCAAAAATATGCTAGCTATTACAAATAAAAACACTCAAAAATAACTTTGCTTGCCTTCTTGGAATGTGGAAGGCTTTTTATTTTTTTAAATAACTTGGGTCTCTCATAAAATGTGTCCAAAATTTTTTCAAATAATGGCACTTTTTTCCTCAATAAAATTCCCTCTTTTAGGCAAAGGCATAAAGAATTCTATTACTCTTTCAAATACACTTTTAAAATAATTTCCCCTTTTTGCCACCAAAGAAAACACTAATGCACTGGTAAGTGAAAACTAAGAAAAATCAAAATGTGATACTGTTTGACACAAAGTCACTTTATTTAAATTTATGACAAACAAAAATAAATTGTTCCAGTTGCTAAAGGAAAGTAGATGGTAAGGCAGTAACTTAAATTACTGTTTTCAGATTATTTAAATAGGCCCTGTACTTAAGAAAATTGATGGAACACCAGAAATTAGAGGGAGACCACTTAAATGAGTGAATATCTCAGATTCTGAGTTGTGGAATGCAGAATTCAATGTAACCTTTGCTTAAATAATCTTGGCAATATACTATAAAGATTATTAATATACAGAGCAAAACAGAAACTGGAGTATCACCTGAGAAACAGCATACAAAGAAAAATGCTAATGGTTAGAATATACATTTTAACTCAAGCACAAAAACATCACTCCTTGGAAAAGCAGGAAGCTAACACAGAAAGAATTATCTTAAGATATGAAAGGTAGGTTGATAAGGATCAACAGTAAGCCACAAAGTGATTTCTAAAATAATTTTAAACATCTGGGTAAGCTCTAAAAGTTAGCAGAAGCTGTTAGAAGGATACATAAAACCAAGAGATAGTAGCATCTTGGTAAAGCTGTTTTATAAGTAGATTGTTAAGTAGGAATTTTATTCAAAATGTTTATTTAACAACCAGTATGACATAGGCCCCCGCAAATGGAACCAACTCTGTCACCCTCACAAGTATACACTGACTGAATGCCACCCTAGTTTTGAGAAATACTACATTTAATACATTGTTTAATTTCAAGTCATTATAATCCTAGTTGTGTATGCAACTAATTCTACTTCTGTCTGATGCTACCATTTGAAAATGTGTGTTTAAAATACAAATGAGAAGTGGGGCAAATAGTCATTTAACTTGAATCCAGGAATAATAACTTTTTCACATTTGGATCTTTTCTCATTGCATTTCCCTGCATGACTGCCTGTGGTAACGGACCTAAATTACACCATCATTCATAGCAAACAGACTTGTGGTTGCCAAGGGGGAGAGGAGAATGGGGGAGGGAGGGAGTGGGAGTTTGGGGTTAGCAGATGCAAACTATTATATATAGAATATATAAACAACAAGGTCCTACTGTATAGCACAGGGAACTATATTCAATATCCTGTGATACACCACAATGGAAAAGAATATTTAAAAATATAAAAGTATAACCGAATCACTTTGCTGTACAGCAAACATTAACACAACATTGTAAATCAACTATATTTCAATAAAAAATTTTAAAAATTACACAGTCATTAAAGTCTGAAATGGCAAACATAAACCTAAAATTAGGAAGTGTGAGAAAAAGAAGAAATGATATTTATACAAGTATACTGTATATGCTGGCCCTGTGAGGGGCACTTTACTCACAGTATGACATTTAATCCTCACAGCCTGGTAAGACAGACATGACCCTCTACCGAATCAACATTTCTTAAACACTTATTATGTATTAGGCGCTGTGGTAGGCAAGAGAGTATACAGATGAGTAACTACTCTTCTTGCATTAGAAGAGAGTGAAGGCAGATACATAAGCAGGTCAATTTCTAACTTAGTAGTTAGAA